CCCCCCCCAATCCACCCCCACCCCTTACCAAGACAGGGAAACTATTCCCTCCTTTTTATTTTCTTCCCCCTTCAACGTTTCCACTTCCCTCACTCTTCCACCCCATTATTCTTCCCTGATCTATTCCTCTTTCCTCCCTTCTTTCCATCCTTCGTCCAATCAATATAACCCTCCTCCTCTTTCTTCACCTCTCACCTACCTGTGATTTGTGAAGACTATTTTCTCTTCCTTCCTCTCTATCTTCTCCTCTTATTATCCTCTTTCAACTACCCTCTATCCTTATTTCCTTCCTTCCAATTCCAATACACCCCCCCCCTCCCCACCTCTCACCTCTGAGTTGTGTCAACTATTTCTCTTCCTTTCCTCTTTCAATAACTCCTCTCTCCTTCCTTCCATCCTCCCAAACCTTCTGAACCTCCACCTCTTACCTTTGAATTGTGCAGACTTTCTTTTCTTTCCTTTCCCCCTTCCTCATCATCATCCTGTTCCTTGCCGACTGGCGTGGGCGATCATGGACCTCCACTTCTCTCTGTCTTGCGTTGCAGCGATGATGTCTGTCGTTCTTGCTGTTCCCAGCCAGCCATGTTGTCGACTTGTCCAGTATCTTTTCCCTCTGTCTGCCTCTTCCTCTCTTTCCTCAAACTTACCTGTTGTTGTTACAATATTCTTCAATGCTTCTTTCCACATTGTGTGTCCAATTGTCTCTCCCTTTACTTACTTTTACTTTTTCATCCTCTGTTGCCGTTAAGCGTCGAGGGGAGATGCAGTTTTCTATGGTAGGCCAGCTCCGCAGCTCTTCCGTCTGTCCCTTACTCTCGTATTATTCCTCTTTCAGTGACTCCTCTCTCCTTTCTTCCATCCGTCCAATCTCTCTAACCCTCGACTAAGGAGGTTACCTCTTACCTGGGAATTGAATCCCCGCTCAATGGGAACCCTCCGGAAGTTTGCGTCACGAGAGTGACCAGTGGTCATCCTGATTAGTCAGATAAGCATCGCCAGGTTATTAGCTGCTGCTGGGCCCCCTGGTTCAGTCCCCATCAGCTCCGAGTCCCCCCCCCCAC